TACAATGGTTTGAATCTTTGTATTTGTTTTTTTTTTTTAATTTTATTTGTCTCATGTTCATAAACATTTTTCAGAACAAAGGAAATCCTAAAACAAACTGTAGCTGAAGAACATTTTAACATGATGATGTACATTGTTTATACCCTTCAATTATGTGTGTATTTTTAACTACTGCTTACATGTATGTTTGTTGATTTGCCTACCCTTCTAAATGATTATTTAGGTTGACAGTGATGTCCCTATGATTAACTGTTTTACCTGTGGTGCTGCTATTATCATTACGGACATGCAGGAGCACCAGGAGACTCGCCAGCAAGGAGAGACCAAGCAGCCTGAAGATGACTTTGAATTCAGTGCTGGTCAGTACATTTAGCTTGCTGAGTATTATGATCCATACTTTTTGTATCTTATTTATGTCATAAATAATGTGCAAATGTAACTAAGGCTTGAAAGTACAATTCAGTGAATACTTGAACAGTTGAAGAACTTTCTTCTTTGTGATATGACGTACGTTATGACACCTTTAAATTACAATCATGTTTAACTGAGGAGAAAGCCTCTTCAAATCTTACATCACAAAGTTCACCTCCTTCCTGGGGAGGGGAGGATACTTTAGGAATTTCTGGGTGGGGATGTGCCGCTGGGACCCTGGGACCCTTAGCCTATACCAGAGCTAGTTCAGCTGAATTTTGCTACAGTAACTCTATTCTAGACTACTATCCTAGAGTAGTTTTGTAGGCTGAGTTTCGTAAAGTTAAACGTGCTGATTTGATTTTTTTATATATTTTTGAGTGTCAATTCCCAGTTTCTCTATTGTAGACTAAAACTTTCAACCTATTCCTGGAAAATAATACCCTATTGTAGACCCAAACTCTCTGATTGATATACCCCATCCCAGAGTAAACTGCTTAAAAACCATTACCCTTTACAGTGGCACATACTTATTTGTGGCATACATGCATGCCAGTACCACCCCCAGGACCTCCTCCCTTAGTGGATGTATTTTCTGTTATCTTATATTTGAAGTAGAGTGCTGTAAATCAAAGGAACTCAAAACTCACTCAGTAACATTATGTTTTTCATAGACAATGACAGTAACTGGGAACCTCCCCTAATGCTCCAGCCTTCTCAGCCACAGAAGCAGCAGCAGGATGAAGGTGTGTATTGCAAGGGGACAAGATCCAGCAGAGTAGTATTCATCGTAAATTCATAAGGCATGTCATAATAAAGCTTTCCCTGTATTGGAAATAAATTACAAGGATCATATGGCATGACATTGGTGCCAAAATTATGATGCAAATTTTTAATATAAAATTTGTTTTTTCACATTTTTTTTCCTATTTTGGGGTACACATTGTCTTTTAGTATGCACAGACTTCCTTTTTCGGGTTGATTTTTCTTTATTAGACTTGACACTGGGTTGGTATAGTTTTCAGTTTTGGTCAACTTTTTATTTAAAATGTGTAGACTTTTCATTCGGGTGGACTTTTCATTGTAATTGCATCAATTCAAGTCACGCAAGACTGATGGCGTCTCCTAAGGGATCATGGGAAATGCATTTCCTGTGCTGCCAGTCTGTTGTTTATGCACTGCCATAAAAAAATAGCAGAGCAGACTGTGCATAGTCCTACCCTCCCAACCCTGAGGTAAAACATTGACAGCCACCGCATTTTTTGGGGATCATTTAGATCAATCTAGAAATGGGGTGAAATTCAACTCCCTGCAGAAAAATGAAGAATGAACATCTTTCAACTGGAACCAACAAGTAAAAATAGCCAAAGGTATATTTACTAACCTTGTCTGTTAGATGTTAATGCAACGCACAAATTGTCATGTAACATTACTTTGCTTGTGACTGTCTCTGCATAGCTGTTCAGTCTTCATTAAAATTGACTTTATTGAGTTATTATTATTATTTTGTGAAAAGGCAAAGAAATAAGCATTACAATATATTCAGTTTATTCAGCAGCAGCCTGACTTCAAGGTTGTCAATACTTTGAGCCACAAAAAGAGAAGGGGGTTGTGCATCGGCTAATAACAATTTACGTGTATTATTGTGGTTGTGACATAACCATTTGCAGTGCTATTTAAAATAATGCTAGTACATATTAAGATTTTGTTTGTTATTGCGGGTGAAGTTACACATAGAGTTACAAGTTACACATCTATTACACATAGATGACAATGGAGAAGAACCACAGCCTGGTCCATCTACACAAACAACAGAGGAGGAAACCCTGCAACAACTAATGGAGATGTTTCCGGACAAAAGTCGAGATGACTTGGTGCGAGCCCTCAGCCTACACGGGACTGTGTGTGGCTCTTTCTCTTTCCAGTAATTTACCTGAAGATGATTTTAGCAGTGATGATGACAGCCTGTTACAGCCTTCTTTTCCCCCTTCAAAAGAGAAAATAGATTCCTTGCAGTCATTGTTAAAGGAGCTTGGGAAGAATATGAGTGAAGAGAGAGTAAAAGTAAAAATTGAGGAGGAGGACATTCTGAACGATGCATTGGCCCATTACAAACTTCCTGAGTTTGATGTTAAGAAGAAGCTAAGAATCCAGTTCAAAGGCCAACCAGCAGTGGACACAGGTGGTGTTACAAGAGAATTTTACACAAAGTTGTTCCAAGTCATTTGCAAGATGTTCTTTCAAGGTGGCAAATACAAGAGTCCTGTGTACAGTGCAGACATTGTAGCCTCCGGACTAATGCGATACTTTGGCACCATGATTGTTCACAGTATTTTACAAGGTGGCCCAGGCTTCCCAGTGTTGAGTCCTTCAGTATACTGTTACATTGCTTCTGGTAATATTGATGCAGCAATGGCTAAGATGAATTGTGGAGATTGTTCAGAGCCTGTTAAGCATTTCATTGACAAGGTACAAACTGGACATTTGAGTGCATTCTAAAATTACTGACTGACAGAGAGCTTGTAATCAATTGAGTAGACTACAGTACTTTGATTGTGACTCAAACATCTTTCAATTCAGGTATGAGTATACAATCACTACAATGTCAAGCAGCATCATCATCATGACCATGGCATTACAGTTCTGTTTGTAAAAATTATCTCAAACTTGTGCCTACTTCTTACTATTGCTTCTAATAACAATATATGCAAATAATATGCAATACGGATGAAATACACATGTAATGATATTGCTAACAATCAGCAAACCATAGCAATAAAATTACTATGTTTATTTACACAGCAAAGTTTACAGGAAACTTAATTGAAAACCACTCACATCGGATTTTATTTTTTTATCAATACTAGGTTGCACAAGCTGAAGATGTGTCTAGTCTTGACAAAGAAGAATGCTCAAGTATGTTGTTTGAGTGTGGCCTTGCTGTTGCATTAATTAACAGTAAGTATGAATTGACTAACATTATTGTTGCTTACTGTGAGAACGACCATTTAACTGGAATACACTGAAGGTGTCATTCATCTGTTCAGTAGTTTGCTTGGTCAGTCAGTCAGTCAGTCAGTCAGTCACACTCCTACTGAGTCAGTCATTCACTGACTCATTTGCTGACTCACATATTCATTCATTCTAGAACGACAACAAGATGAGGGTTATTCAGGGGATCATTATACATGATGTAGTTGGCCGCCCTAAGATTATTCTTGACCAGTTGGCAGAGGGTTTAAACACACTTGGATTTCGAGCTGCTATGAAAGAATACCCTGAGTTCCTTGAGGCTCTCTTTATCCCCAGCAAGGAAGAGTTGAATGCAGATTCTGACATTGGCGTGCTTCAGTTCCCTAAAGATATGGATGACACTGAAAGTGTAGTAGCAGGTTACATTCACATGTTTATACAGAAAAAAAAGGTTGACATGCTGGAAAAATTTCTCTCTTTTGCCATGGGTTCAAAGGCTCTTCCCAATTTTGGCCTGGGAAAAATTCAAGTCAAGTTTGATAGGGTACCGCCTATCTTTGCATCAACATGTTTGTTTCACGTTACATTTCCAAATCAATTCGAAGACCAAGATAGCTTAAGTTTGTCACTAGAGGCAGTCATAAATACTACCACAGGACAGTCATTTAACTGTGTGTAACTACAAAGTTCAGAAGTTATTAGACTTCCTTGTTATCATGCATTTTCTCTATGCTCTCAAATTGTATTTTGCTCTGACTACAAGCTAAGTTAATTTTTTTGGACATCAAGTTACAACTTCCTGTAAGTGATGAGTCTACATTGTTAAAGTTACAGCTTGTTGTATACATTGTTGACATTTCGAGTTTCTTGTTAATAACAGGTCAAGGCTATTTGCTCATTAATATTTTCTGCTGTTACTGTTGCTGTTGCTAAGGACAGTTTCTAAATATCCATATGGAAAACCATCAAATCCACAAAATGGACTTACACACACCTACACATGAAGGAAGATCAGTATATATGGTTATATTTGCACAAACAATTCATGTTTTTCTTTTCATGTCTTTTAGAAGCCTAAAATGATTATTTCACAATTCAGGGTCAAGCATGGTTTTAATGCAAAGCACAATGTAATAAATATTTTACCTCATACATGTATGAAAACCCCTTAGCAACAACTCCAGATCGGTATATGTAGTGAAGTTTGTCCCCCTATAACAATGAAGTGTTCCTTAAAATGAAAGATGGATCCTTAAATGACAACTTGTTCCAACAAAGGATAGTCCTCATACACTGTAATTACTTTAATGATTCGAAAGGTTGAAACGAAAAGACCTATTTAGAAGGTATGGATTTTTATTTGAACAACACAGTCACTGTAATATTTCTGGACAAATAATAATTATCCCAGTTAGTTGCAATTTATTGTTCCAGTTCTGAACATGTAAGATTACATGTCAAAAGATTCAAAGCAGGTTGAAAAAATTGTTGTTAGTTGAAATAAACATATGACTTGTTTGTTTTTTGTTTTTTGTTTTTTTGTTTGTTCCTTTCGCGTTACTTGACTGACTCTTGAGGGTGTTTCTTATTACAGTAAGTTGGTGATTTGGTTGAAAATTAATTGCTTCAACCCCCTCTAAATATGTTAAATTGTCTGTTACAGGTAGGAGATGCATTTCCTCCTCAGTGAATGGGCAGTTTGTGTCCGGAACTTCAACATAATCAGGGTATTGTTCTGGGACAGGACCTTGCCAATCAATCCCATAGTTGCTATAATCGCCCTAAAAAAAAGGATTATTGTAAGCAATTTGTTACATATGTGCTGCCAAAGCATAAACCCCCAATTTCTTGCAATGCTGGCCTGAGGATAGAGATTGGTGATCATAATTATTATTTATTACATTTGACACAAGTAATGCTGATTAAATGAAACCAAACATGTTACATACCTGGAACACTTCACCTTCAGGACCAAGAAATCCCCATGCCTCTTGCAGTCCACTAATCCATAACTGCATGGGCGTTCTGTTTCTTTCTGTACGTAATGGATGGTGAACCCATGCATCTTTCCAATTACTCAGATGTCTGTTGATGATAGGCAGGAACACGTAATTTAGGCACCAGAGGTGACAATCATTTAACACATCCTGGTTTTCTAGGGTATAGAAGAGTTCATAGAAGAGGCTAAGGCAGCCCTCATATAAGTCTCTCCAAAGTCGTTCAATCCTTTGATTGTGTGTGCTCCTTCCTAGTGATTGCAAAGAATATAATTTTATAGATTAATAAAATTTTAGTTTACTTAATTAACTGTTAAACATTATCTAACAATCAGTGTCAAATACTCCCCCCCCCCCCCAAAAAAAAAAAAAAAAAAAGGAAAGAAAAGGAGAAAAGAAAGAATTGTTTCATAGTCTATTGATTCCTTCCGGGCTTGATAGTTTCTTCAATTGCCATCATACTTAAAACAAGTTACAACCTGATTTGGGAGCATGGCAATCACCACGCTCATTCTTAACAACACACATAAGCATTCATGAAAACAGTGCCCCTTAAACTAATTTAATGAAACTTGTGAGTTATTAATAGTAATATAATACTATTCATACAGCATCATTTCTCCTTGCCTAGAAATCCTCAAGATTAGTTCATGATCCCATAAGTACCTATTTCATTATATAAAATGTAGCATCCTTTGTTAAAACCTATTCAGGATCTTAAAGTATAGCCTGAATTAAAGATTCCATCTATTACAAACCCAGAAAAGGTCATCTAGCTAAGGAAAGATAGATTACAAATAGTCCCCTTTTTTCTTAACGGATAGTAGAGTGAGTGACACACGAGCATGCATAAAAATCATCCCACGCAAGAAAGGAGAGACGCGGCGGGGAGATGCGCTGTACTATTCCTGAGGAAAAATGGGGACTACTCATAGTCTAACCTAAGGAATAATGATTCAGTACTCTGTACCTGTTATCATACTTCCCCTGCCTGGCCCTCGCTGGATGTGAGTAAGCATATGGGTTGCTACATCTACGTTCTCCCCTCCTTTGTCAGAGCGGACCTGAGATGGAAGGCCGTACTCTGACACAGCTTCACGAAAACATGAAAGAACAGTGCTTGCTTTGTTGTCATTTGAGGCCTTGAAATAGACTGGGATTCGAGAAAAGCCATCGATTCCTCCATGTATAACAATTCTCCATCTGTTAAAAAAGCCCCGTAATTTACATACAAGAGTGACAAACAAAAAATATAAGCTCCTGTTAGGGCAACCTTATCATGTCTGGTGTTACCTGCAAGGGGTTAAAAAAGATGGGGACAGGGAAACAGTTATCCATCATGATCAATGTCTTCAATTGTAGCTAAAACACAGTTTAAAAAGTCTTGCATTAACTGGTGTTGTGGCCACAGTTTAGTGTTTTCTTTTTGGTTCAGTCAAGGTGTGTATGTTTACATGAGGTATCCAGTAGCAGAAGTTTGATTGTGTTTAACTTAGCTTGGACAATAGTACATGACAGTTAGGCATGGGTCGCACTTGGCAAATTTTTGCGAGAATTTGTTTACCTTGCGGTAGAAATCTGTCATCGGTGGACATTGCTAAGTGCGACCCCGAGTTTTCAAGTTAGGAAAAACTTTGAAAATCGGCAAAAACATCAAAGACGCCGTAGTGCTTGGGTGGGGCAGGCAGATTTTGGAAAACTCGAGCTAAACAATAGGAATCACAGCGGTAACTGTCAGCCCCTTGTCATGAACGTGATCCATTTGAAACACGATCAATTTAAAATAAACGCGGTCGAATTTTCAGACCTTCGCGAAGAGGCTTTTACTCGGCTATCCTTCGCCATTTCAAGTTTTTTTCGAAAACTCTCTACAGGCAAGGACTTCACTCGCTTATAAACCTTCGCTATTTTAAGGTTTTTACGGGAACGAGCTCTATTGAAGGCGAACCAGTTCCCGTCTGCACAAGCAAACACTTCACAGGTTTGTTATTCTCCAAGCCAAATGTACTATTCGCATCCAAGCACTTTCCGGTCTTCTTTATCTGTCCCATCCTCCTGAAACTGGGAATGGAGGAAAAAGATCCTTCGACAGAGGTGCGGACGAAGAAGAGAAAAATGTTTTCTGGTATCTGGCGTTCTTAAGTTCTCAATGTGTCAAAGCAAAAACTATTAACTCCCACTAATGCGACCCTCCTCGGTTGGACTAAAAGTTTTCTTTTCCGGTTGCGGTTTCGAATTTTTGTGGTTTTTTAGCCGGCAAAGATGAAAACTTTTCCCAAGTGCGACCCATGCCTTACTCATAGTCCCACGCACAAGATCACAGGGGGAAGCTATGACAATGTACACTGTACAACAGGTATCTTTATCAGTACCTTATCAGCTTATGGTTCCCATCTATGTGCAATAGTGAGAGTGGATACCTAACATTGTAATGTCGCCTCCTGGTGGTGCTTCTCCATCTCTCCATAATACCAATGGGATCTGTTCGCAACAAGGACAATCTTATTCTTTCTCGCTGAATGCGAAACCCTTTGCTTTGTAAATAACCTTTGAGCATTCTTATACCCATTCCAGGATGCTGGCTTGAAGCAGTTTGAACAAGCTCATCCAATTGGTTGTCTCCTATATCACTGAACATACCTGAACCAAAGCAATATAATGGGATAGTAAAATTTTCATTGTAAGTGTTGGGTAATGAATAGTGTAACCGAAGTCACGCGTATTAGTGTCCAACCGCTTTATTTTATAAATCACACTCCTACGGTACTGTACAACCAAAAATACAAAGAATACGAAATTACGAAAAATGTAGAAATCAGTACAAAATAACAAATACATCAAAGAAAACGGAAAAGCGTACAAATGGCGTATGACTAAAATTTACCTTAACGGTTTCTTGACTTAACGTTAAAAGGAATGAGCTCTTCTTGACCCATAAAAACTGTAAAAAACACTGACCGACAAGACTAAGTTTATATCAAAAAACTTGACAGATTACGTAACATTACGCAACGATGGTGACACCAAAAAGAAAGTAAACAATATAACAAAAGAAAACTATAAACAATTACAACTAATTGCAAGTAGACGCGAACAAAAAAAACAAAGAAAACCCCAAGTTCTAGAAGTTTCGCTTTAACACACCGGCCTCGAAAGGCAGACGGGCATTCAAGCCTTGCCTTTCTTAAGAAAACTAAGCGAAACTAGTAAACGAAACTTATTTAGAATATTCAAAAAACCTTATCTACAATTAACATCTTAATTGCTTTACACAGTTCGCAACGTATTTATGAGCTAAGTGATCACTGCAATCACGGAACTTCCTTTCCAGCAACTGGCTCCTTTTTGTCCAAAACCTCGAAGAGGTCTGTCTGTCCTTACAAGTTACATTGTGTTAACAGCTGGGATTAATTATCGGCAGCTTCCAGCAGCAAGCATATCTTTCTAATATCTCGCTTCAAAATTGCTCTGGCGGTTCTAACTGTAGCTTGTCGCACTGCACCATAGCGATCTGGTGTAACTTCTTCAACAACACCCATTGGCCACGGTCCACGCGGACTGTGCTTATCAGCTATGAGAACCAAGTCTCCAACAGCTACATTCCGGCGCGGGCGAATCCACTTCTGCCTTTCTTGAAGAGATAACAAGTATTCATCTACCCATCTTCTCCAAAAGATGTTACTCAGGTATTGTGCTTGTCTCCAGCTTTTTTTGTACTTGTCTGTGGACGCAGTGGAGAAGTTACCAGGGGCAACACATGTATTACGGTGAGACAACAAAAGATGATTCGGCGTTAATGGTTCCAAGTCATTTGGATCTTCGCTTAATCTTGTGAGTGGGCGGTCGTTCAGGATTTTCTCTACCTCGGCCATAACAGTGAGAAGGGTCTCGTCATTGACTATTTGGTTTCCCAGGAGAGCGCGCAGTATCTTGCGAACAGAGCGAATCATTCTCTCCCAGACCCCTCCTTGGTGACTTGCTTGTGGGGAGTTGAAGTACCATTGAATACTGCTTTTTTTTAAACTCTCTGTGATGCGTGATTGATTCCACATTTTAAGAGCTTTCTTCAACTCACATTCTGCTCCTTTAAAGTTGGTACCATTATCGCTGTAAACTTCTGTTGGTGCACCGCGCCTACTGACAAATCTTGAAAACGCCATCAGAAACGAGTCAGTCGTCAAATCTTGAGAGACCTCAATATGCACTGCTCGCATTGTTAGGCAGGTGAAAATGCACCCATATCGTTTAACTCGACTTCTCTTCAACTTGGCTGGCATTTGTCCGAAGTAGTCAATTCCAACTGCGGTGAACAGTGCATCCCCTGGCGTGACGCGAGCCATAGGTAGCGGAGCCATAATCTGTGCTTCCGGCTTTGAGTTCCATCTTCTACACTTGATGCACTTGCTGACCACTCGTCTGACGGCTGAACCACCTTTCAAAATCCAAAATTTCCTTCTAATTGCAGCAAGAACTTGACTTGATCCTACATGGCCTATCTGATGATAATGGCGAATAATCATGTCAGTTACATGATGCTTGGTTGGTAGAACTATTGGATGCTTCATGAAACAATCGATAGCCTCTGCATTATTAAGACGACCACCAACTCTGATTAACCCATTAACAGCTATTGGATTGAGTTTGCGCAGTGGGCTGACGTACGAACCGTCACTAAGGCGTTTCCCCGACACTCTAGAGATACTACGGCGTTGCTGAGCTTCAGTCATCAGTGCATTCAACTCCCTCGGAAAGAACAGCCTTTGCATGTACTTAATGACCTCCACTTCAGCGTTTTGGATTTCGCAGACGGATAATTCTCCTCTTTTGACGTCTTCTTTTGCAATCTTCCCTGTGCGATACAGCAAGTAATTCTTGAAGCGCCTCAGCCAAGCTAGAGCCTTTTTCAAACCATACCACGAAGAGTAGTGATAAACCAACGAGTCAAACCCTTGATCTTGCATAACAGCATGCTTCTGGACTTTTTTCGATCTTTTGACGTTTTGGTCATTTTCATCAATCTCAGGAAGCTGGGTTGGCTGATTTGGCCACTGACTTTCGTCCTTCAACAAAAATCTTGGTCCCTCGAGCCAAATCTTCAGTTTGGTACGTTCATGAGAATTAAACCCACGAGACGCGTAATCTGCTGGGTTCAGATCAGAGCTAACATGACGCTACTGAGACGGGGTAGAGATATCGTGGATCGTTGCCAGCCGGTTGGAGACGAATGTCTGGAATCTTGTGTGACTGTTGTTGATATACTGCAAGACAATAGTAGAGTCAGTCCAAAACGTCACTTCATGTATAGGCAAAGTGAGTTCTTCCTTGATCTGCTTGTGAAGCTTTACAGCGACTGTGGCAGCCGTTAACTCCAGTCGTGGTACTGTCACAGTCTTCGGTGGAGCAACTCTTGCCTTTCCCAGTAAGATGCTACAGGCGATATTACCAAGTGCATCAGTTAAACGCAGGTATGAGACAGCCCCATATCCCTCTTCCGAGGCATCTGAGAAATGATGCAGCTGGACGGAACTGAGCTCGCCAAAATCTCTCGGTTTCACACAACGTGGTAAGGCTACTTCGGTAAGACCAATGATGCCCCTTGTCCAATCTTGCCACTGCAGAAGGTCGTCTTCTTGGACTATGTCATCCCAACCAAGCTCGTCTTTGCATAACTTCTGAAGCAGTCGCTTAGCTGTAAGTATAACTGGAGCAGCTAGGCCAAGAGGATCATAAAGAGATGAGGTGACAGAAAGAATCTCTCTCCTTGTGTTGGCTGTAATATTCGGAATGGTCCTAAGCCCCAAGGTGTCTTCTTCCGTGTCCCACTGCATACCAAGGGCGCGATCTAACGGTAAATCTTCTAAGTCTAGGTTAAGGTTCTTCACTGACGGTGCTAGGTCTTCCTTAGCGACTGAGGACAAGATTTCTCGACGATTACTGATCCACTTTGTTAAGCGGAAGCCTCCCCTACTCAACAATTCTGGCAGCTGCTCAACTAATCGTACCCCCTCTTCAGTTGTTGCGACCGATTTAACACAGTCATCACCGTAGAAGTTCCTATTAACCGTATCGATGGTTTCCACATCGAAGTCCGTCTTGTTGTCTTCTGCGGTTTTCTTTAATGCAAAACTTGAACAGCTAGGAGATGATTTAGCTCCAAAGAGGTGAACAAGCATCTCATGGTCTTCTGCTTCTTTAGAAAGATCGCCACCAGGCCACCACAAAAATGACAGAGCGCAAGTGTCTTGAGGAGACACTCTCACTTGATGGAACATCTTCTCTATGTCGGCCATAAGACCTATTTGCTCTTGACGAAAACGTAGTAGTACTCCGACGAGATTATTGGTTAAATCTGGCCCTTGAAGCAGCTGTTCGTTGAGTGACGTATTGCGAAATTTAGCGGCGCAATCGAACACAACTCTGGTCTTCTCAGGTTTCTGCGGGTGTATCACAGGATGGTGGGGAAGATACCAGACAGAACGTGGCACTTGATGTAGAGATACTTTCCTCGCGTGACCTTGTGCAATGTAATCTTCAACAGCATCCTTGTACTTCTCTTGGAGAACTTTGTTCTTTTCAAACGTCTTTTCAGAAGATTTAGTCTTTTTTCGGCCATAGGTCTGTTATTCGGTAGGCACGGATTATCATACTTCCAAGGAAGGGAGAGCTGATAATGGCCATCGACCATCTGAACGGTTCGTTCCATTATTGCCAGGGCTCTTCTATCTTCAATCGACATCATTTCTTTAGATGACGCAGACGATTCGCCGAACTCCGCGTTGTACATCCGCTCAATTTGTGCTGACAGCGTTTCTTGACCTCCACTTAAGAAACTGACGGTCGCTTCAGGGTTGCTTGAACCGCCAACTGGTCCGATAAGTGTCCAACCAAGTAATGTCCGTGCAGCGCAAGGCTGTTTACGGCGACCACGGCGCTCTTCAAAGACCCAGTGCGCCTCGGGAACATCATTGCCGATTAAGATGGATACCTCTTTATCGAGCTTAGGTATACTTATACCCTGCAGATGCGGCCAATCGCGGATATCTTCGGTGCTGGGTATGCTTTTCTTTGAGACAGGTACCTTGTCAACAGTCCACACACGATCTAGTTGTATGCATTCATCTGACGACAATGCTCTCACAGTAAGACTAACTTCTTCTCCAGACCGTTTGGTTCTCTCGGCATTAATGGTAGTTAAAGAAAATGACGTTGGAGAACCTCTTACTCCTAACTCATCCAGAAGGCGTCGCAGACACAAGGTGGTGTCAGAACCATCATCAATGACAGCATATGTCTCCCTTCTCGTCCACCTTTAGCAGAAACTCGGACGGGCACAATCCTCAAACTAATTCTGTTTTTTCTGGCATTTGTCGCATAATCCGCCCCGGCCTCGATGTGGTGTGGACTTGCTTCAGCCAGATCTTCACAAGTCGCTGTTGGCCCGGTAACAGGATCTTCAGAATCACCTCGCGTTCTTGAAGTCTCATTTGAAGCTATGGGAGCGCTCAATGAAATAGGTGGGTGCAGCAAGGAATGGTGCCTTTCTCTACAGCCACTCAGCAAGCAAGCATCAAGACTCCTGCATCGTCTAGCGATGTGATTAGGCTTCAAACAATTTTCACACAGATTTTGTTTCCTAAC